GTTCCGCGGCACATATAAAACCTTTCCCGTAATTGACAAATTACGGATCTGCATGCAGATTCCGGACCCTTTCAAAACGCCTCAAAATCGGCATGTAGACCAAACAGGACACGCTGATCACGAATCCGAAGTCCGTTCCGCGGCACATATGAAACTTTTCCCGTAATTGACGAATTACGGATCTGCATGCAGATTCCGGACCCTTTCAAATCGCCTCAAAATCGGCATGTAGACCAAACAGGACACGCTGATCACGAATCCGAAGTCCGTTCCGCGGCACATATGAAACCTTTCCCGTAATTGGCGAATTACGGATCTGCATGCAGATTCCGGACCCTTTCAAATCGCCTCAAAATCGGCATGTAGACCAAACAGGACACGCTGATCACGAATCTGAAGTCCGTTCCGCGGCACATATAAAACCTTTCCCGTATTTGACAAATTACGGATCTGCATGCAGATTCCGGACCCTTTCAAAACGCCTCAAAATCGGCATGTAGACCAAACAGGACACGCTGATCACGAATCCGAAGTCCGTTCCGCGGCACATATGAAACTTTTCCCGTAATTGACGAATTACGGATCTGCATGCAGATTCCGGACCCTTTCAAATCGCCTCAAAATCGGCATGTAGACCAAACAGGACACGCTGATCACGAATCCGAAGTCCGTTCCGCGGCACATATGAAACTTTTCCCGTAATTGGCGAATTACGGATCTGCATGCAGATTCCGGACCCTTTCAAATCGCCTCAAAATCGGCATGTAGACCAAACAGGACACGCTGATCACGAATCTGAAGTCCGTTCCGCGGCACATATAAAACCTTTCCCGTATTTGACAAATTACGGATCTGCATGCAGATTCCGGACCCTTTCAAAACGCCTCAAAATCGGCATGTAGACCAAACAGGACACGCTGATCACGAATCCGAAGTCCGTTCCGCGGCACATATGAAACTTTTCCCGTAATTGACGAATTACGGATCTGCATGCAGATTCCGGACCCTTTCAAATCGCCTCAAAATCGGCATGTAGACCAAACAGGACACGCTGATCACGAATCCGAAGTCCGTTCCGCGGCACATATGAAACTTTTCCCGTAATTGACGAATTACGGATCTGCATGCAGATTCCGGACCCTTTCAAATCGCCTCAAAATCAGCATGTAGACCAAACCGGACACGCTGATCACGAATCTGAAGTCCGTTCCGCGGCACATATGAAACTTTTCCCGTAATTGACAAATTACGGATCTGCATGCAGATTCCGGACCCTTTCAAATCGCCTCGAAATCAGCATGTAGACCAAACAGGACAAGTTGATCACGAATCTGAAGTCCGTTCCGCGGCACATCTGAAACTTTTCCCGTATTTGACAAATTACGGATCTGCATGCAGATTCCGGACTCTTTCAAAACGCCTCAAAATCGGCATGTAGACCAAACAGGACACGCTGATCACGAATCCGAAGTCCGTTCCGCGGCACATATGAAACTTTTCCCGTAATTGACGAATTACGGATCTGCATGCAGATTCCGGACCCTTTCAAATCGCCTCAAAATCAGCATGTAGACCAAACAGGACACGCTGATCACGAATCTGAAGTCCGTTCCGCGGCACATATGAAACTTTTCCCGTAATTGACGAATTACGGATCTGCATGCAGATTCCGGACCCTTTCAAATCGCCTCAAAATCGGCATGTAGACCAAACAGGACACGCTGATCACGAATCCGAAGTCCGTTCCGCGGCACATATGAAACTTTTCCCGTAATTGACGAATTACGGATCTGCATGCAGATTCCGGACCCTTTCAAATCGCCTCAAAATCGGCATGTAGACCAAACAGGACACGCTGATCACGAATCCGAAGTCCGTTCCGCGGCACATATGAAACTTTTCCCGTAATTGACGAATTACGGATCTGCATGCAGATTCCGGACCCTTTCAAATTGCCTCAAAATTGGCATGTAGACCAAACAGGACACGCTGATCACGAATCTGAAGTCCGTTCCGCGGCACATATGAAACTTTTCCCGTAATTGACAAATTACGGATCTGCATGCAGATTCCGGACCCTTTCAAATCGCCTCAAAATCGGCATGTAGACCAAACAGGACACGCTGATCACGAATCTGAAATCCGTTCCGCGGCACATATGAAAGTTTTCCCGTAATTGACAAATTACGGATCTGCATGCAGATTCCGGACCCTGTCAAAGCGCCTCAAAATCGGCATGTAGACCAAACAGGACACGCTGATCACAAATCCGAAGTCCGTTCCGCGCACATATGAAACTTTTCCCGTAATTGACGAATTACGGATCTGCATGCAGATTCCGGACCCTTTCAAAACGCCTCAAAATCGGCATGTAGACCAAACAGGGCACGCTGATCACGACTCCGAAGTCCGTCCGTTTCCGATTTTGAGGCGATTTGAAAGGGTCCGGTATCTGCATGCAGATCCGTAATTCGTCAATTACGGGAAAAGTTTCATATGTGCCGCGGAACGGACTTCAGATTCGTGATCAGCGTGTCCTGTTTGGTCTACATGCCGATTTTGAGGCGTTTTGAAAGGGTCCGGAATCTGCATGCAGATCCGTAATTTGTCAATTACGGGAAAAGTTTCAGATGTGCCGCGGAACGGACTTCAGATTCGTGATCAGCGTGTCCTGTTTGGTCTACATGCCGATTTTGAGGCGATTTGAAAGGGTCCGGATTCTGCATGCAGATCCGTAATTTGTCAATTACAGGAAAAGTTTCAGATGTGCCGCGGAACGGACTTCGGATTCGTGATCACCGTGTCCTGTTTGGTCTACATGCCGATTTTGAGGCGATTTGAAAGGGTCCGGAATCTGCATGCAGATCCGTAATTCGTCAATTACGGGAAAAGTTTCATATGTGCCTCGGAACGGACTTCGGATTTGTCATCAGCGTGTCCTGTTTGGTCTACATGCCGATTTTGAGGCGATTTGAAAGGGTCCGGAATCTGCATGCCGATCCGTAATTCGTCAATTACGGGAAAAGTTTCATATGTGCCGCGGAACGGACTTCGGACTCGTGATCAGCGTGTCCTGTTTGGTCTACATGCCGATTTTGAGGCGTTTTGAAAGGGTCCGGAATCTGCATGCAGATCCGTAATTTGTCAATTACGGGAAAAGTTTCAGATGTGCCGCGGAACGGACTTCAGATTCGTGATCAGCGTGTCCTGTTTGGTCTACATGCCGATTTTGAGGCGATTTGAAAGGGTCCGGAATCGGCATGCAGATCCGTAATTCGTCAATTACGGAAAAGTTTCATATGTGCCGCGGAACGGACTTCAGATTCGTGATCAGCGTGTCCTGTTTGGTCTACATGCCGATTTTGAGGCGTTTTGAAAGAGTCCGGAATCTGCATGCAGATCCGTAATTTGTCAATTACGGGAAAAGTTTCAGATGTGCCGCGGAACGGACTTCAGATTCGTGATCAGCGTGTCCTGTTTGGTCTACATGCCGATTTTGAGGCGATTTGAAAGGGTCCGGAATCTGCATGCAGATCCGTAATTCGTCAATTACGGGAAAAGTTTCATATGTGCCGCGGAACGGACTTCAGATTCGTGATCAGCGTGTCCTGTTTGGTCTACATGCCAATTTTGAGGCGATTTGAAAGGGTCCGGAATCTGCATGTACGAGATTGATATCAATCTGCATGCAATTATACGAACGTATGAAGCTCATGCATCATATTCATCCTTCTAATAATCTTATTAACAATGCTCAGCTCAACGTTCAAATACCTGAAATCATACGAACACTTGTCATTTAAGAAAGGCAACGTATGATAAAGTATATGGGCATCTGGTTATATCTTCAAATGATCGAACAGAATAATCAGGTATATGTTTCTTGTCTAAGTTTTGTCACAAATTATGGGGGGGGGGGGCAAAAAGATACTTTTGCCCCCCCACGAGTTTGCCAGGGGGGCAGCTGCCCCCCTGCCCCCCCCCCGAATCCGCCGCCCCTGTTTCTCACAGTTTCCCTTCCTCAACTCCGTGTTCATTATAGAGTTCAGTGGTTCTGGGCAAACCGTTCTGTCCGTTGGCCTGGCGCACGTCACATGTGAATGTGGACTGAGTCACTGACTGATTACGGAATTAGGACATAATGAAACCGACATACTGTACGTTTCGCTCAAGATTCGCTTCGCCGTGGATCGCGTTACCGGCCACTTCGCGTACTTCATTTCATCTTTGTTTTCGTGTTACTGTAGTCGCTCTACATAGATGGCCCAGGCCCTGGCTGTACGCTGCCTTGGCTGATGCCATGTCTGAGACCAGGGCTGCGGAGGGAGTTAGAGTCGGTCGAAGTCTGAGTCAGAGCCGGTCGGAGTCGACAGTTTTGACCAGAGTTGGAGTTAGAGTCGACTTTGTAGGCCGTAGTCTGAGTGGGGTCGGAGTCATCGAAACTCGAAAGTCAGTTGACTCCGACAGAGCTACGGAGTCAGAGTCAGAGTCGGTCGGGATCGACAGTTCCGCCTGGAGTCGGAGTCAGTCTGTTTTTGGAAGCCGGAATCGGAGTCGGAGTCATCGAAAATCGGCTTCGACTTCGCAGCCGCTGAGACAATGCACTATGAGCTGACTCGTCTATAACATCCACTTATGGAAAAAAGGTTTTGTGGGGGGCTTCGGACCTGACTTGAGCATTAACCTCACTTCCGTATGCTTAGGAAATGTCGATTTGGAAAAAAGGCTTTGTGGGGGGCTTCGGACCTGACTTGAGCATTAACATCACTTCTGTATGCTTATGAAATATTGATTTCATCTAGGATCTATGACTAAGTCGACGCCACTTTTCGCATAACGTGAAAGTGACACAGGAGCCGAAGGTGCGATACGACCGGACACCAGCGGCAGTGCAGGTGGTGAAAAAAATAATAAAATCAACTAAATACCACAATTGCGCACCTTTTACATAGCGACACGGAACCCCAAGCCCAGCGAGCTCGAGAGACGTCAAGTCAGAATAAATAATGACTTCATATATTTGTATAAGCCACGAACAATGAAGGAAAGATGAAATTCTACAGTATGAACGTCTCCCGTCTATTAAAATGTACACATTTGTCGTGTGGGGTCATGATCTGGAGAGGCGGTCGCCGCGCAGCGCTCAGACCTCTCAGCAGGGCCAGCAGCGCGCCGCAGCTCCGCCAGACACCACCGAGAAACCAGGAAAAGAAGCAACATAATAACAACGCGCGACCCCTGGTGACGGCCGCTAGACCAAGCCTCCCTCCCGCCTATGGTCTACATGCAAAGCCTATGGGACCGGGTAGCCGACGTCGGCCGGTTCCCGCCACACTCAGTCACAGTTCGCGCTCGGTCCACAGCACCGTCCACACTCTATACATGGCCGATCGGACCGGCCAACATCAAACATTAATGTTGCACAAAATAGCTGGTTATCAGCCGCCGTGGGGCCGCCGCCGCACTGGGTCGGTCCGTGCGCGTACGAAGACGGCCGATTCCCGTCACATACAGGCAGAGTGGACTGCCGCCGACACCGCGTCACGTCACGACGTGTAACGTCACGTCACGTCACCTCCGCAGCGTCACAGCGGCCTGGTGCCGTCCGCCGGTCCGCTAAGCGGCCAGCTAACCGGCGTCGCGACTTCGCGTCCGTCTGCGAAAGTTGCCCGAGGCAACCACACAGAGGGCGCCACCGCTCCACCGGCAGATGTCAGCACCATCCACCACGGTCCGCAGTATCGTCCAGTGCCGGACGGCCGTTATACATCACAATTCATCGGCTCGCACATGCCGTCCTTGCCACCCTCCTCCACTATTGCACAACACAGCACTTGCCGCGCGGCTTCTTTTTCAAGTTGACCTGCTCCACCTGAGACGCATCTTCGGGCTTGACCAGGGTGTGCTGCACCTCGACTGTGCCCGGCGACTGCGCGGCCACCGCGGTCTGTGCCGCCGGCGCCGAGCCGCCGTTCCGATGACCGGCCGGTGTGCTCGAGTTGGCAGCAGTCGTCGTCGTCTGGGCCGGGCTGGGGCCGTCGCGGGCGGCCGGTGGTGCCGCTGCCACGGCCGTCTGTACGGTGGCGGCCACGACCGGCTCGACGGCCGGGCCGCCGTTGACGGGCGCCGGCGCCGCGTCGGTCGGCTCGGTGACAGCGGCGTCGGCCTCGTCCAGGCTGGAGTCGAGAGGTCGACCCGACTGGATGGCCCGCACGATCTGGTCGGCTTCCTTACTGAGCTCGCCGCCAGGCCGGAACGGGTTCTCCCACCCGGCGTCCATGCTGGCGACAGAAGGGGCGGAGAGGTCAGATGAGGTCACCAGAGGTCAGATGAGGTCATACAAGGTCATCGGGAGGTCAGAGAGGTCAAGGGATGTCACATGGTATCAGTTGGGTCAATTGACATCACGGTGTCATTGTATCAGTTGGGTCCAAACGCTCAGATGACGTCATAAACGATCGGCGAGCTAATATGGGACAACTGACGTCAAACGTAGTTGCCAACGTCAAGCGAGTTAACTGACGTCACCCTCAGAAGAATCAATTTCATTGTGACTGGAATTCGTGAGCAGGCCCGAACATAGAATTGCAGTTCATTTACCTACGCCAAACAAAAAACAATCATGCTAGCGTATATAACCGCCGATGCTTTTTACAGGCGATCGGTCGATAGGGACGAGAAACCAGAGTCCAGGAGACCTGAAGTCCAGATCCTGACACTCCCACCCGGCTTACGGTGACAAAACACACCCATTTGTCAGGCACGCCGGACGAAAACCATTCCAGCATAGTTCGTCTTGTTCAAGTGACGCGCAGGATGCTTGCGTGCAGCCTGGCAGCCAATCTAACCAGGGTCGTCTTCAATAGCGCTCCACGGACAGGAAGCCAAACAGTGCGTCAACAAAGTAATCAATATTACCTCTGGATGTGACAAGAAGGGATCTGAGCGAGTGAAACAACGGGATTAGAATATAAAGGACGTTGAATGAAAGTGCAGGTGGTCATACTGATGAAGAGCAAAACAAAAAGTCGATCATCTAAGCAAAAATTGTGATTCACTTAACAATACATGACTGTTATAATCCAATGATCATTAAATCACGATACATGTAAATGCAGGCTTAGTGCCCGATGCTGAAAGAAATAAAACACGGGTGTTAAAAAAAACATTTTTTTATGAGCACGCTTCATCACTTTTATCAGGTTAGAACGTTATGCAACCCCGACCTAGTAACCTTATCAAAAGACCGCTGCTCCCGTTTTACACGGCTTCTGCCAGCCAGCCTGAATCAAGAATGTAGGAATAAAGCTGTGAGTTACGACGACCGTGAATTGAAACGGTTCCGCGGTCTGGAGCCAAATTCGTCCATAAATAAGCCGACAGTCAGGGCCAGACGGCACCGCTACCATGTGGCGCGAGCTGGCCCGGTACGACACCGGATGTCAGCGTGGGCCTTCAGCTATCCTTTAGGTGCTTGGAACTCGCGCTCTGGTGAACTTGAACTCTTTTATATCTGGAACTTGTGCTGCTCTGGATTATGAATCCTGGAGCTCCGGTTCTGGCAAACTCTGAGCTCTGAGCTCTTAGGTCCAGTGGACTTGGGAGACCTGTCTACTGTATGCTACATGGAGCTCGAGCTCTTCCCGACTGAAACTCCGATGCTGCTGGCTCAGTTCCCGGAACGAGGCACTTTAATGCGATATATCAGCGGCCAAAAAAGGCGCCATTTGGCTCCAGAACTGATAATAAAGCGGGCGCCGGTCCAGCCCGTCAATCCCGAGGCCCGTCGTTCCATCCAGATCCACTGCACAACGCTGAGCTCGAACCAATCGGACCTCGGCAAAAAAGTGGACCAAAGTCGGATGCTTCTGGTCAAGGCTTATAGCACCACTTCCTTACTGCTGCCATGGGTGTCTTCCAATAACTTGGAAGGACTAAGGACGAAGAGACAAATTATTTTTACTTTATCTTCACAAGCTGAGCGAACAACCCACAAAACACGTCGTTCCGGTACTGTCTGTCATCCACACCAGAACGCATTCAAAGATTTATCACTGGTGATGTTTAATAAAGATTCCTCTCGACGCCGCTATGTAAATGACGCAAAACGGGGCTCAAAATAGCGACGATTCAGCTCCAGATGCTTCCACACGAGGCGCCACTATCGACTCACTCATGACCTTAAACTGTTCTTGGAATCGAATAGAGCCATTCAATGCAACAAGCCAGCCAATAGCCAGAGCGGAGCTCGTCAATTCTACCCACTTCGGCAGTCACTTATTTAATCTGCAGCGGAGGTGGGGCGCGGGTGCTCATGGCTCTTCGCCGCACCGTCAGTGGTCTGGACGGCGGCCAAGTGACACAGAGACCGGTGTGGGCTCGTCGGCCCCTCTCGCCGGCCTGGTCTACAATGGGGAGATAGGTAGGGACGGACGACGACCCTGACCTGCCGGCTGACCGCTGTCTTTGTGTGAACGGGTCACGGACAGGGGTACTGACTGGAGTCAGAAGCGGGGTGGCAATGTATCGGGTCATGGTCAGAAAACAACTGATCTGGCTAGATAGCTACATATCGGACAATGGAGCAACCGAACGGAGTGCCAAGGCTGCCAGGGCCCAGGAGCGTCGTTAGGATTCCCCACGGCTGTTTCGTGAGGCAGCCCGTTTAGTTTTAACTGAGCGTCACTAGATGTCGGCCCGATCGCAGCCGAAATAGCCACCTGGGAGGCAGTAGGAATGTCATGGCCAGCGCAGCCAGCTCCGTTTACCCTTCCAACAGGAGCTACCGTCAGATGAAATATCGGGGAGCTGCTTATTACTGGGATAAACAAATCGCCTGGCCATCGGAGACCGCCGTGCCGGAACCGTCTCCCACTGCGCAAATTTCACACCATTCGATACATTAAATGTACAAGAGTTTTTCGTCCAAGACTCAGGACGGGACTCTAGTATGAGCCATTCCGACTCTGAAAGACATAAGTCACGTAGCTCGGTGTTGGTAAATGGCCCTGTGTTAAAGAACATCTGACACTCCAGTTGTCAAGTCCTCCCAGCCACCAAGCAATAAGCAATGCTCGGTCGTTTCTAGCAACCGGCTCACACAGCAGGCAAAATGTCCCATCGGCCACTGCGTGGAACCCGTCCCCACTACCGATCGCGTGTCTGATGGTCTGGCCACACGGGACGACACATCCCACTGAGTGGATTGGACGACGGCGGGCCTGTGTGGCGCTGTCACTGGTCTGGGGTCATTATTCAGTCGCTAGCCCGCCGCGGACAGACACTGACACTAGCCGTCGGTTAGCGCGGGTGCAATAAAAGACCGCAAAACGGAGCACGGCACGTAAACGGTTGCGCTTCTCTTGGAATTAGATGCCACTTTCTACCTAAGAAACCAGAAATCGCAATACAGTTCAAGCAGAGGTAAAGGAGCCCTCGGAGATGAAAAAGTAAGAAACGTTTACAAACTGGAGATTTATTAACGAACGGCTCGCACCTCCAATCTCACGGAGGAGGGAGAGAGCCCCTTTCGATAAGTTCCCTGCCCACTCCGGCGGCTCCTTGGCCTGAAGAATCTTGCCCTGGCTTCACGGTCGTGGCCTCTGTCGTCAGCGCGGTGCCGGCTGGATCCCTGCCCGGCGGGTGGCACGCGGCTGGCCCGGGCCGACTGTTTGACCTGGCGCTCGATCAGAACAAGGGAGGCCGCTCTGGCCAGTCTAACCAGCCAGCCTCAGGCGGAGAACACCAAGACTCGCCAGCAAGCCGCACAGAAGACGCAAGACTTACCAGCCAAACTCAGACAGAGAACAGAAAAAGACTCGCCAGCCAGTCCTCCCCAACAGACAAGATACCACAGAGGAACGAGACACTAGACACTCTCTGACCACAGGCGGCACAGGGACGCTTCTAGGTGGAGTCATCCAGCCCAACTGCCTCTCAACACTCCTCCGAACCGCTCAACCGCAGCCCCTTCTTTCGTATCCCATCAGCGCACATCTCAGTTTCGACGGGCAGCGCCGTCAACAGACAGATGATGCCCGTTTACTCCCCACACGAATACACAATCAGGGTCCGGTGCAGATGTGCAGACGCAGCCGCCAACCACACACTGTTGTAGTGATCGTACGCAAAACAGGCGAGGCGTTGTGCAATACGGTGACAAGAAGATTCACAGACGACAACTCTTTCCAGACGGGCTGCTGTTGCAGTTGCCTCTGCAAGGACAGTAAGGTTCAGTGTTTACCGCTTTACTCAGTTATATGAACCCCAATTCAGGCGTGAGTAAACATTAACAGGAGCCCGTCTAAGACTGTTCGGAGTAACAAACGAACTAAACGAGCAGCGTGCTAACGCCCTAAAGACGACCATCCAACGGCTCGTCGCCCTCTCGGCGCATCCTAGGCGTTGTTGGGTGACGGTTCAGAAGCCGTTCCGTTCACAGGTGGTCGCCGCGCTGGGAGAGTTAAAGCCACCCGATGCACAGGTGGTTGGTTTCTAGCGGGGATCGTGTCACTCCCGGGAGCCGGTGGTTTAGAGGTCAGACACAGCTGTGAAGGTGCTATACCCGTCGGACAGAGGACAAATGAAGACAAAGTAGAGGGAGGTCTGCCAAAGCCCAGTGACAACATCCTGTAGCTACTTTTTCAGCTGACTTCAGCCACAGGTAACGTGCGAAAACCCTCAACCCATCTCAGGCTGTCTTTCCATTCCGGGTTTCGCCGTTTCGGACAAGCCAGACGTCACCCGACAGAACCATGCCGCTGGCTTTTATCAGACGGCATGAAGAACTACAAACCGGGCTGCCCAGCCCACCCAGTCCCATAAACAGACGGGGCAGATCCATCTGAGGTCAGCGTCATTGACGATGAGAGAAGGACACGGTCGAGTAGGGCCACGTCACGTCAGTCACATCACGACCTCACGTCACGTTTCCACGTCACGTGAGAGCGGTCTGCACGGACTGGAACGTCACTCACCGATGCTTTTCCACCGGTAGCACGTAGTAGGTGATGACGGGACCCTGGGCCGCCATGGCTGATCGATGCGGTCCGGTGGGGGCTAGCGCCTCACGAAGTCTTATATCGCCAGGCGCCGCAGAAAGCAGGCCGCAGAGCGCACTGGCTATAACCAGATCACACCAGATCACCTAGATCACTGCTTTGGCCACTGGTCAGCTCACAGTTTGAAGATGAGCTCAGTTCACGCCACACAAGCTCAAGAAGAGCTATCTATAGCTCAGAGACCAACTTGATCCGTTGTTCACATGCGCTCTCGGCTGAAG